AGACTGCTATTTCCCAGAGGAATGAACAAGAAAGGGCTTATATAAGCACGGTGCGTATTGAGTTTAGGGCCTTTTTGTATTTTTAAAGGTTCTTTGGAAGCTGATACCACATTCAGATAATCAGTTTATTCTTGAAGGATTTCCTCTTGGCCTATCTTCCTAGGCTTTCAATGAAGTGAGACAAAGGGAAATGGAGAGAATGGATGAGACCGAGACAGAGACAAAGACAAAGGGACAGGGAGATCCAGACAGAGAGGGGCAGAGAGACTGAAAGACAGACAGTCAGTGGAGATGGAGCTCTTGGGGAAGAAAGGAAGGACTGAGAGGGCTGAGATGCCGGGAAGGACAAAATCCACTAACGGAAGGTATTCTCAGGCAATCCCAGCAACCTTGGCGCTGAAATTGTGTCCAAATATCACCATGCTTTTTGACCTCAGATGTGAGCACTCAAGGCACACTTGAAAACAGGCATGCAATGGCTGAGAAGCCCCCGCTGGAGCTCTTTGAAATCCCCTGCTGCGACGACAGAGGTGAGATCCAGGCCACTATCTCTGGCCACACAGCACAGGGAAGAGAAAAGGACAGGGACACCAGCAGTTGGACCTCCGGCCCAGTTACCTTGGGCATCGCAGTCTGCACCAGCCATATCAGGGCAGCTCAGGCCTGTGGGGGCCACAGAGGTGAGTGGGCTGAACCCTGAGCTGGGAGCCTGGTTCTGGCTGTGTCACTGGCCCCTTCCCATCATCGTGTGGGGGTGGCACGGGTGGGGAAAGAGGTACAATAGCACCAGCGGCCAAGCACTTTGGCTAAGGGAGAGACTCTTTTCCAACCAGCTTAGCTTGGGGACGTACGACAATGGTATGTCCCAAGAAAGACCAGGCCAACCTACTTGCTCTGAGACTTTTCTGAAAGTTTCCATCCAAGCAAATAGATTCATGCTTGTGGGGTCAGAAACAGGGTGTGGGGCCAGCAGGAGGGGAGAAGTCTTTCAAAAACAAGAGCTTTTTGAATTAAATACACCAAAGAGCATCCCCAAAGTGAATGAACTTAGAACACAAGCGTGTGTAAATGTGTGTATACGTGGGTGAATGACTCAGAGACAAACAGGCTGAGGGGGCTTTTAAGCCTCTGAGGGCTCCCACGCTACTTCCTTCACTCTTTCCCACCCCTACTCCTAAGAAATCCAAGAAGGACAGAGCATTTGAAGACGGACGAGGGTAAGGAGGAGAGACAGTAGGAAGTCAGAGGAGCAGGAATGGTCTGGGAGCCTGCTTGTGAGGGGGCGTTTGGGGAGGTGGCGGGAAAGACAGGCCAGCGGGGAGAGGGACTGGGCCCGCAGAGCCCCAGCCTGAGAGGGTGGAGACCTGCCACAGGAAACCCCTGTCTCTCTCCCCCAGCTGGGCTATCTGTCAGAACAGGTGAGGCAGGCAGGGGCCTTGGGGAGTCTTTGCCTGGCTGGGGAAAGTGACCTGGTCGAGGGGGAAGACAGGGTCCATGAACAGGGTCAGGAGACAGCGACATGGGGTCAGGACAGCCTCTGAGTCGAAGGAACATGCCTGAGGTGGCCCAGGAGCCAGCCCAGCCTGAATGCCTCTGTCCTGAGTTTCTCCACCAGGCAATGCCATCTGCAAGTTTCTTAACTTTAGTTCCTGAGAGGAAGCTGGCGATGTCAGGGATGGGGCTGCATGATGTAGCTTAGCTGGTCGGCATCCACTTCCGGATAAGGATTAAAGTGGGGAGAAGACAGAATGTTTGACTATAGGATCCAGGAAAACATGCCTGTGATCTCTCCTACCTCCGACCCATGAGAGCTAATTGGATCCAGATGTGGGTCTCTGGTGCATCTCCTGATGGCAGGGGTGTGGTCAGTTCTGACAGAGGCGTGCCCCTCAGGGGCTCTGTTCACAGGCTGTGATGGGGGCTGATCAGTTCTCTGAATGGCGTGGGAGGTCCTGGTCAGGTTTGATTCAGAGGCAGGGGAGGTGGGCACAGCAGGGCTAACCCAGACAGTGATCAGAGGGCAGAGTCTGCCTCAGAGACCATCCTTTCAGAGAGAAACCAAACAGAGGTCCTGGCCACTCTGTTTTAAAGGTCCCTTATGGCTGATGGTGGCAGAGCAAGAATATTAACACCAGGGCCTCGGCTCTCTTCCAGGCCAAGGAGTCAGAGGTAGCCTGTCGCCCAGGGCGATACTTCTCTCATCTTAAGTACAACTCTACCAGAGGGGGATAGCAGTGGTCAAGCCTTCACTTCCACATCCCTACACCATCTCTTAAAAATTTGCATGTGCTTATTAGCTAAATAGATAGTTTCTGAGGCAATGCAGAGCTAGAAGAGATGACTTTCAGCTGCCTTTCAACGTGAGTGTCACAGATTACAAGGGGCTGGAAGGCCCCTTAGCGATCACCTTATTCAATCATCTTAATTATTAAGTCAAGGAAGTAAGGTTTGACTGAGCTTTACTGGTGGTTTATTGGGAGAAGCAACTTTGCACAATGGTGAGCATTCATGGCCTCACATTATGTTGCAGAATTTTTATTTGAAACTGTGCAAAGCAAAAAGTAGTCTATGGTAGAGAGGAGTCCCCTGAGAATTCAGGGGTCCAGAGAAAAGAGAGACCAAACCCAGAACCACCAGGTTCCAATGTAGTGTTTCCAATAGGCATTCCGTAAGGAAAGTGCTGGCTCACTCAGTTTGACCATTTTCTTTGTTTTGGCCTTCTCAGAGCCTTTATATGCACATCTGAATCATAACTCTCCAAGGGGGGAGAGAAGGAGGCAACAGTCACCCAAGTGTTTGATCACAGAACCTTTATATGGAGGCGCTCCCGGCATTAGTGTTCCATGCACCATGCTTTAGGAAGCACTTGTCCAAGAGGTAGAGTCCCATCTATCAATGGCATGGCCTGCCTTATAAAAGTTTGAGATTGAAGTAGGCATTCAGTCTGACCTTGTCCACACACTGAGGAGAGATGGGATGGCCCCGTGTAACTCAGGACTCTTCATGTTGTCTCATGGAAGAAACAGGTGACTCCCTAAGAGTGTCTTGCACAGGTCTAGCAAATATTAATGATAATTTGATCTGTTGGGACAAATCTTATGTGCTGTCTCAGGTTCTCTTCATGTCACCACCTGTCTCGGGGACTCTTCGTCCCCTTTTTGGCTCCAGGCAAAGAAGTGTCTCTTCTGACCACTTCTGGACTCAGATGAGGTGCCAAGCCTCAAGGAATAGAATCTGAATTTCCCAGTGATGGCCAAAGGGGCCAGATGGCACAAGCCGGTTCAGGAGAGTTCACTCCCCATGGGGCAAACTTTGAGCAATGGAAAACAAGAGACAGAATGGAATTAGCATGTGAATTTCCTCTCCAGCCTCTCGGTTAGACTATCCCACAGCCCTGTTTGTGCAGAGCTAGTGTACAGATGCCCTGCTTTGGCCAAGCGGACAGCTATGTCTTTTTGTGAAGGTGACACATCTCCTGTATTGCTTCCCATCCTCCTCTCCTCGTTTCTCATTTGCTGCCCTGGTAGTATGCCTCCCAGTGAGGTATGAGTACTTAAGCTTTGCCTTGTAGAGAACCCAAGCTCAAATAATAGCGATTGAAATAACCACATTTTTTTTTGAGCATTTACCATGTGCCAGGCACTGCCTAGTACTTTGCATATATTATCTCATTTACTCTTTTCAACAATTATATGAGGCAGACGCTGTCATTACCACATTTTGGTAATGATGACACTGAGATAGAGAGAAGTTAAGTAACATGTCCAAATGGTAGTATCATATGGCACATAAGGTAGAAGCAAGCACAGTGCTGGACATGGAGTAAGCCCTCAGTGCAAGTGGTGGGGTCATTCATTTGTAATTTCTTGATAGCACCGTTTATTCTAAGGTATTCTTTCAAGTGAGTCACTCACTGAATACAACCAGGTAACCAGGGGACAAGACAGGGTACCAGAAACAATATAACTCTAGCTCTGTTATTTGCATCTAGTATGAGCTTAGCAGTAAGTCACTCACCAGGTACCTCACTTTTTCCATCTACAAATTGGGGATAATGAGCTCATGTTACATATAACTCTTTCCTATTACACAATTGGTAGATTATTCTCATCAACTAATGTGCTAATAATTGAGTCCTCCTGTAGCTATCACCCACAAAAACAAAGTTTAGGTCCCGCAGGGTATAAGTGGGACAATTCAGGTAGGAGGTGCTGACTGAGGATCCGGTTAATGCCACCTGGGGATCAACAAAGTTCTGTTTTTATTGCAGGACAGACAGGGCAGTCGGCCTGTCATAGCCCAGCTGTAACTACAAAGGAAAATACCTGCACTTATTCTAATCTGGTAAGCTTGGGTTCAAGCAAAACAGCTGGAGCTTTTGAAAACAGAATCTCATCTCCAAGATCACACGTCTGCAGCCACAGGGGCACATGTGTTGACCATGAAGCATCTGGAGGGGGTATAGGAACCCCTCTGAAGTGGTGTTGATCAGTCTTTTGTAATTAGCCCAGATTTTTCAACTTTGTTCACATAATTATCAAGTGAGATTGTTAGAAAACAAGACAAGGCCTGGGCTCCATTCCTCCCCTCAGCAAATATTTATTAAATATCTATGCATCGGAAACTATACAAGGGGGAACAGACAACACAATCCCTGCCAGCAAGGTATTCTTTATCGTCAATGTAGCCCCCATATTTGTGACTTTGAGCAGAAAGTAAAGTAGATTCGTGATTAAAAGATGCTCTCAGCATCCAAAATGTGCAGATTCTCTTAGGGGGTCAGCTCATGCCCTAGGTTTCCTTAAAGCTTATCCTTCGACCATGGCATCAGAAACACCCAATTCTCAGAGCTACTGAATACATATCTCGGGGGTGGAGGTGGGGGGTGGAGACTCAGAATCTACATAATTAAGATGCTCTCTGGGGAAATTCTTATGGTCACTAAAGTTCAGGGCACCCTGTTGGTCCAAATCCCTGAGAGGTTGTCACTCACACCTTACCTGTTTCCTAGACAGGTGCGTCTGATGGAGTATTGGGGCTCCGCAGCAGCCTGTGGCGTGGAGAGTGGCAGGCTCTTTGGAGATGCGGCAGACAGGTAGTGCTGGCAGCACTGGCATCTGTTTGTTTCTTCCTCTCGGGTTCTTTCTTATATAGGCACACCAGGCATTGCCCCACCTTAGTTAAACAATGACTACAGCAAATATTGGGGCAGGGCGCCTTCTGAAGAGAGGATCCCAGATTAAATTGCAGAATCTTCTGACTACTTTGCCCTAAGGCAATCTCTACCTGCTCCCACCTTACTACCTGGATCCTCTGGCTACTGATCTCTTGGCTGCCTGGGTTGTGGGTTTTTCATTGTTTCCAGGTATTCAGTTTCATTATATTACTTCAGGGAATTGGTGTTTCTACAAAACTGACTTTGGGAAGCAATCTTCCTACATGCCTCATTCTGAGACAGGGAAGTGCCATTGCCATGTGTTGCACATCAAGGCAGCTGCTGAGAGTAAATCCCATCACCTGGTCTTTCTGTTGGAGGGACCACCTTCTTTCTACAAATAATTGCAGAATACATTAACCCCTGGGCCTGGTGAGACTGCGGGAGGTCCCCACATCATCCCAGCTTAATGCATCAGGAGAAAGTGGTGAGGCATGGAAAGCAGATGCTTCCTGACCTAAAAGCCTGATAGTGAGGCTCACCCCATGTTATGGGAAAGAATGATAAAACAGGGGAGCGAGAGGAAATGTGGAAATCACCAGGAATTGATGTGACTGGATCCAACCCCAAAGTGTGATGGGTGGAGAGAGATGGGATTTGGAAGGTGGAAGGAGGCATCAGAGCCCTTGGGAAGTGTGGCTCAGACCGTACCCCTGGGAGGCAGGACGGCGGGTGAGGAAGGGTCATTCAAAGACTGGAAGTCGGTTTGAATGTCCAGCCCTACAATTTTTGGCTCCGTGACTTGGGCACGTACCTCTCCCTCTGAATCTTAATTTACTAATCAGTATAATGAGGATTATGGTGCTAGCCTCATCTCTCTCATATTTACTGGAGTGCTTGCATCCCAGGAGAAACATTCTTTTAGAACTTTTACTATAAATACAGTAAACGATAAACACACTATTGTATAAATATAATTAATGAATAGATACACATATGTTTGTGGCACGTGCTCAGAATGATTTGACTAACAAGGTATGCAATGAAAAACATTTCCAAGCCATAGTTTCAGAATAAAGGGGTGTGAAATGCTTTAGAAAGCCCTATCCACATAAGTATATCTTGAGACAGAGCCTAAAGGACACTAATTGGGAGCTTTCCTGCTTACTGATGATGACTTCGTCTTCACCCATTTCATGAATTTTTTTTTTCCCCCCTTAGAACAGGAGCTGTCACTCCAGAGCAGTCTTTGGGAATACTGAGTTGAAAAGGAAAATATTTCCCAAAGGAGTGTTCTTGACGCCTGGAGACAAGTGGCTTTGGGTGACAGTTGTGCTGTCAGAATGGCTGAGGTGACAGACTCTGGAAGGAAGACCTGTTCACAAATCTAAGGGGGATGTTTGCTTCTGGGGCTTTACTGGCTCTTTGATGTTTCCCTCTTCATTCATACGTGCTCTTTAGAAGTCAACTGTCAGTGGTTGGTGTTTTCTAGAGAGCTCCAGCCTGGGCTATAAACTTTAGCCTTAAGTTTCTAGCTGGACTTCCTCCAGGTCTGAAGCAAATGTGGCATGCCCCTCAGACCCTTACTACGCTGGGCAGTTCGTATCTGCTCTGAGATGTGTGGGGACCCACCTCTTCTTCCATGGAGGCTTGACTGCCTTCACTGCGTATAATGGCTCCTGTGTCACAAGGCCAACTGAGGCTTCCACCATCACTGCCAAATGTGCAGGCCCTGCTGTGGCCCCCCAAGCCTGGGCCACCAAGGATGGAACTCATGTTCACTGAATGTAGAAAACGCTGTCATCACCACAGTGTTATGGCCACCCCAACCTTCCTCTGCCAGCATCATGGCTGTCCCTAAAATTGCCACCTGAACCCAGTGGCTGACACCTCATGCAGTCAGTGTCCTACAGAAATGACAATTGCTCGTTTTTGCAATGTGGGGGTTCACAATGAGTCACCCCCACATGTGCCTCTGTGGTATGCAGATTGTTTTGAGCTAAAGGCAACTTGAGCACAGGCTCAAGAAAAACTTCTGCCCCTCCCTTTAACTGCCTAGATCTTGAATTAGGGGCGTTGCTCATTATAAGAGATTATCAAAGATAACACCTTTTGACCTATCTATAGGGCGGGGCAAACGTCTATTTACTAAACATTTGCAATGACCCTTTGAAGCCCCCAAGACACCTTATCTCATCCCTAGCTCAGAATGTCTTATATACCTTAATCCCCCTTTCTATCTCTAACCTCTCCCACATGTGGGGTCTCTGACGCTTTCATGTATGTGGGCTCCCCATCCGTATGTATGTATTAAATTTGGTTATTTTCTATTGCTAATCTGTCATGTCTATTTGATTATTAAACCAGCCAGAACCTTGAGGGTAAAAGGAAAGTTTCTTCCTCCCCCATAGTAACTTCCTCTGAGCCAGAAAAAAATCTGAGATGGACTGGGCTCAGAATCCCCACCCTCCCCTATGAACCTAGGCTGTAGTCCTTGAGCCAGTCTTGTCCACAGTGAATCTACCTGCCATTGAAATGACTTCTTTCTCAGGAGACTCTATTCATTCATTTAATACACTCACAAGTGGTCCCCCGTTGCCAACCTCTAGCCATGCATCAGAATACCAGATCCTGGGAGACACACCTCTTCTTCCCTCCCTCCTTCATTCCCTTCTTCTTCTCATCTTTTTCCCCCACCTCTCTGTTTTGTCTCTCTACCAGCTTCCTGCTCTCTCCCTTTCATCATTCCTTTACCAACTATTTCACATTGGCCACCTGTGCCAGACCCAAGAGACACAGTAATAGACCTAGTGATCAAAGCAAGTCTTAGTTGCTTAGAGTCTAGCGAGAGGCACACATGAATCCAATGACCACAAAAAGAGCTAGATAATCTCACTTGTGATTAGTGCTGGAGGGGATTTACAGGTCTATGAGGACCCAAAACAGGGGAACCTCAACTCGACTGAGGACTCATGGGAGGCCCTGTTGAGGAGTGATGGAATGGGGGGAGCCCGGCAACAGAAGACATTGGTGGAGGTCGTCCAGGCAAGGAAGAGATAATGAGAAAGTACCAATCCCAAGTGGCCAGTCTGATGAACTTTCACAAAGTGAAATCCAAGTTATTAACACCCAATTGAAGAGACACAGCATTGCCATTACCGGTACCCCATTCCTGTTGTCTCCCCCTTCTCATCACTACCCTCCAGGATACCCCCAACATAAACTATCCACAGTCCTGTTCATTTTGATAACTTCCATCCTCTCTTCCTTTATAAGAAACAAACCCAGTGTTGATTTTGGGGATTAAATCAAGTGTCCCTGCAAAATAGGACAAAGGGGACTATTGTGGCAAGATAAAAGGTATACAGCGTGTTTTCCAGGTAGTTTAACAGATCATCTAACAGATTTCATGTATTTTTACATTCCTCTGTGGGTGGGGAAGCAAAGTCAATAAAATGAGGTGATTTGTGTTAGTGCCAAAGAGCCTGAGCTGAATGGAGGCTCACCCAGTTTGAGCTTCCTGTGCTCTGGACTATACTCGGAATGGATTATGAACAGCCCAAGGCACACACATCCTTAGACTCAGAGCAATGGGTGACAAATCTGATGTTACCTTCGAGAAGCTTTATAAACGCATTGTCAAATCAAAGTGTGCTAGCCCTACCACTTACTTACAGTGGAATTTTGGACAAACTACTTAACTCCATGCCTGTCCCCTCAACTCCAACATGGTGATGATAATAGACTCTCACTCATCAGGCATCATGAGAATGAAAAAAGCAAGGGCAGATAAAGTGCTTAATACTAAGTCTGGTACTTCATAATATTCAATAAATGAGACTGTTACGTAGAAAAGGAGACCTACACCTGGTTGATGGAAGTTTAGGAGAACCAAGTTAGGAGAGAGGCTGGGACTTCTAAAGTGGAAACCATGGCTACTTTGGGGAAGGATAAAGGTGTCATAACTCAGGCCAGGGAAGTAGAGCCTGACACACTGACCAAGAGAAAGTCTAGTAAGGAGTAGGAAGTCATTTTCACTTGTTTCTTAGTTTTGTTTCAACATGTAAATCATATGCTGCAAGCATTGTCTGAAGAAACCAGAGAATGGCCTAATATGTTCGTATTTGATGTTGCCACATGTTGCTGAACTGAGGGCAGAAGTATTTGGTCAAAGAGAAATGGGCTCTGCTACTCATGTGGAGATTAATCATGGTGGGCTGAAAGGAAATGAACCTATTCTGTGTCTTCTGATGTGGTGCCTATGGTGGAGGGGGACTGGAGGGGGACCGTACTGAGGAGCAGGACGCCAACACTCCAAGAGACATATGTCTGTGTCAGGGCAGGGTTACTGGTGCTTGCTCTGCCCTTTTCAATGTTCCAGCATCCCTCAGGGTGAACTCCTTTAGTGAACATGCAAGTCTATGACAGCACAGTCCAAAGGTGGTCACTATCATTGCAGATTGAGGAGGATGCACGACCCGAGACTATATCCTGTCCTGAGACTACAAATGGATGAGGGAATAAAATATGGGGCTAGGATTGTTACTTCCGTCTTTGATTGCCCCCTTGCCCCCAATAAACAAGTTCTCAGGAATTTGAGACAAGAAG